AGAAATTCAATAGAATTTTATACTTTGTATAAATTTTGATAGAGTTTGTTGTTCCAGTTTTCATGAATATATCCATCAGAAAATAAAATCGTGTGTTAAATTTATTACCAATGTATCTTTCAAATTTAATCTTAACTGCTTAACATATTTAGTGATTTAAAGCAATAAACATACCCCTTAATGATTTGAATCTTTATTTTTAATTAATCATTAAGGAGTATGTGCATCATTGATGTTACCAATTTAATATATGATTAAATTGATTCTTGTAATTTAAAATACTGTATTTACTCACATATTTCTCCCCCTCTTATATTATTTATTTATCAAATGTCTGGCCATTGACCATCAGGTCATTAGGCAATGAGCTCTCCAATACTTCTTTACAGTTCAAACTCTTAAGTGCAGAGCATACGTCCAGATGAGAGCAGCGCCCATGACTTGTCCAAACTTACGATCTATGATTTTTAAAAAAAAATCAAGTATGGGTCAAAATATATTTACGGGTGCCCTTTGGTGGTACATGAACACCGAGTTTGTGCAGTTCTTCGATTTGTTATTTAGGTTTGTGTAGTAGCGATTTTTGCTACAAAAATCGCCGCTACACATATCCAAAATAACAAGTGAAAGACTTGCACAAACTCATCCATGTACACATCAACCTATTTTCACTTTAAAAAACATCAGAGAATTGCACAAACTTGGCATTGCGCATACCCTTTGTCCTTGTATACATCGATTTATTTTCACTTAAAAAGTCAAAGGAGCACCCAGTTCTACACTAGAGTCACACAAAAGATATATAACCTCAATAAACTACATTTTAAATCAAACAGTGAAATAACATAAAAAAAGAAATTCATCTTAGCACTACACAAGGGAAATATCCACTTACCTTGTTTAGAAATTTTGGTGTCTTCAGTCAAACAAAATTCCTTAACAGCACCCAAAAACTTCCTAAAATTATCTGAACTAGAATCTGTATACTGGCATTGCCATATAAATTCACAAAAAAAAAGAGTAAAAATTATTCTCCGTATTGCCAGTATCCTCCAACATTCGACCATATGTATTTCCTTTGTACAAAGAGGACACTAATTCCATTGAATTACACCCAAGAAAGTTTCTTTTCTTCTGTCCTGAACCACTTCAAAAAAAAATTCCCGCTATCAAACACCCACTTTACCACCGACAGCCATTTTACGATACAAAGCACAGAATATGCGACTTACTCCCAGTTGACATCCAACAAATATTTTCCCATCAGTCAATCGGGCCCACCAGCGGCCGAGCGGTAAAGTCGCTGAACACTGGTAGTTCGGTGCGAGGTTTGAATCCCGCGAACAGGCTGGCTGCATGGGCGTTTTCGTGGTTTTTCCCATGTGTAACGTGTATACGAGCCAGTTTCCCTTAGAAAGTCCTCCACGAAAGGCATCCCTCCCCTTAGGCAGATAGTCCTCGTGTGCTTTGCCATAATTAAATACACCAACACCAACCCATCAGTCAATCATCGCAATCATGCAACCAATTTTGTCATAATAGGGTTTCCATAACATTTAGCTACTCAGGTTACTATAAATGACACAACAACTTAGCGATGATTCAAGGGTCACCCTTAAATTATACCAATACTATAACCAAAATATCTACTCAGATAGGAAAACATATTGTGTAAGTACAAATCATATTATCGATATTGTTGACATTAATAATTGTGATCGATTCCTTTTAAATACAAAATACAATAATATTGCATTATTAAAAAAATAAATAAAGCATCAGTCATTTATTTGTAAAACATTTGGGCACACCATGCATTTCCTTTACTTGTCTTTTTTTTCCCCCCCTCTGAGCTTTCTATCTAGCATGTCTATCATGTTGAAATTTTTTTTGAATTTCTAATGTTTTAACATTTCAGTCAAAAAATACTATACAGTACAAAGTCTGTAATCCGGACGTCCATAATCTGGACCTCAAAGCCACAAACTTTACACATGTGCGTAAAGAATGCGCATACATTACGTATGCGCATAATGTATGCTTTACACATGAGCGTGTTGAAAGAAATGTTTAATAAAGTAAACAAATAAATGTTGAGCTTTTTTGTTGTAAAATTTGATACTCTTTAGATCATAATTGCTCTTTATTTCATAAATTACGCTTTCATATTTTTAATTGTATAATTTCTGCATGTCATCTTACCAGATTTAAATTGATGATCTATAATCCAGAAGAAACCCTAATCTGGAATCGCCGATGTCCTGACGAGTCCGGATTATGGACTTTGTACTTTGTATTTTAAAAATAAAAATGGGTTATAGATATTTTTGCAAATTTGATGCTATATTATACTTAATTTTTCCTTTAAATACCTTTTTATGCAGTGTTGATAGTGTTGTCAAGAAAGTAAAATATAAATACATTTAAAATATTTCAAAATTCAATCATAATTAGTTCTCAGTCTACATGTTTGCACCATGCAAGGTGCCAGCATTACACGGCCAGTGCACTCTTAGAACAGTTCCAAAGGTTCAACCCCTTCCCTGCACCTTGGAGAACATTGACACTAATTGCCATGCAGCAATGCTGGTTTTCTAAATGCTACCTGCCAGACGCTTGGGCTGCCCATCGCAGAGGGACATTACCCAGTATGCCCAGGATGCTACTAGAGCCACTTCATTCTAGGACCTGCCAGGCCCATGGGCCGGCCAATAAATGACCTGTCCTGGCCTTCAGAACCACCGGGTTCCAAAAATTTGTATACCCTCATGGCTGAGACTGCCTGGGTACAAATCCTAGCCAGTAGTAGCTTCATAGAGTTCTCTACATCAACCCCCTGGAGGGGGGGAATTCAACAATAAGCAAAATTAAGAGAATTTTCAAATTATGTCTATTTTTATGAAAGGTACTGAAGTAAAGGTACTAATTGTGCTACCGAAGAACTATGCAAATGTTCAGAATGAAGTACGTAAGCATGCATATGCAGAACTGTGATTGTGAGGGGATAATAATCATATGAGGGGTTTCCGGCAATTTGTGTGCTTTATTCCTTCACAACATTTGCTATGTTTCATACAAAAGTTGCATAAATTTTATAAGGAATTGGGTAAAATGAGTAGCCACAAGCATATGGATGACAGAATGAGATGAAGAATTGTCAGTAGATTACAGGCAGACCAATCGTAAATATAGATGGCTTCAGAGCTCAGTGTAACACCCAGTATCATCTGCAATTTGTGAAAATAGTTTCATGACACTGAATTCATATTGAGAAGACCTGAACTAGGTCAAATAAGATCCGCAATGACGAATGAGAATCATTAATTGGCTCTTTCAGCGCAGTGACACAGAACTGCTACTGGTTTATAGCTCTCACAAGAGCTGTATAATGTCACTGGAACTCAAGTTACTCAGTCTGCAGTTGCCTGAAGGCTTCATGAGATAGGACTATATGCCAGAAGACCTACTGTTTTGTCCTGCTCACTGCAGCACACAAGAGAGCGTGTTTAGCATGGTGCAGACAACATGCACCTTGGACAGTGGATTATCGTGCTTATTAAAGATGAGTCGTGATTCAAAACGGACACTAATTTTCGTCATACCTATATCTGAAGAAAGCCTGAAACATGATACCATCCCTCCCTCATCAGGAAAAAGAATTATGATGGTGAAAGTGTAATGGTTTGGGCCAGCATTACGTTGGACTGTCATTCATTCCTACATGTTTGACAAAGGCTCTGTTACTGCTGTAAGTTATAGAGAGGAGATCTTAAAGCCTATATTCAACTTTTCAGGATGCTGTGGGTCGTGGGCTTCTGTTAATGGACAACAGTGCTCATTCACATACGGCTCAGCTGGTTGATGGTTACCTGGAAATTGAGAATATTTGTTGCATGGATTGGCCAGCCAGAAAGCATGTTTGCAATGCTCTTTGGAAGGCAATTTCTTCTTGCCCTTCGATGACCATCCTTGTGTTGAAACCTGTCTTGCTGCAGGAGTGGGATCAACTGCAACAGGGACTCCTCAACTGCCTCCTGTTTGTTATGGCGTCATGCTGTGTGACCTATCTGGCTGTAAGGGGGGACCATATCCTATATTAGACTCATTTTCAATTCGATATCATAACATGGATTTTGGACATATCTGCAGTGTGAGCTTTAAGGGTAATCACACTATATAAAATGACTTTTGAGTGATATGTACATCTTCTCTAAAATAAATGTATATTCGTACAAAATTTCATTAAAATCTGTCCATTAGTTTTTCAGAAATTCAACTATTGCAGAAATTTTCTTAATTTGCACATTAGTGTATAATATGGTCCTTTACTTACTCTTTGAAAGTATTTTACAAAGGTAGCCTTCATGTTCTTTGCCTGAATAATTAATCTAACCTAACCTACTGATTGTGTGAAATAATATCATCATTATTACTTGAAGGAGAAGCCATTAAGTGCTAAGTTTCAGATGACATTATAAATGTTCTGTCTTGATTTCATAGTTAAAACTTTTGTTACAAGTCTTTCTATAGATAATATGTAAATTTGTTTTGTATAATTAGTTAACTTTAATGATATTAAATGTTACTAATGTGTAAAAATATATTTGCACAGTTTGCTGAAAAAGTATCTCTGGTTATATGAGAGAGAATGTAATAATATATAATTTGACCTTTTAATGGCTGGAACTGGAGCATTTAAAATGTTTAAAATTGATTTTACTTGTTAAAAAGTATGTAAGAATGGACGACTATGAGATGGTGGTATAAGTTCTGTATAATCAGTTAAACTGCTACCTGTACAGCTTTTTTTTTAATTGTATTAACACGTAGCAAAAAATTGTAAGTTTGAAAATTATTTCTATTGGTTAATCTCAAAAATTTTATCTTGCATAAACAGTATTACTTTTTTTTATGTTATTTTATTTAATTTAGCTGTTGTTTAAGGTATTTTGAAATACACTTTTTTTATTTCTTGTATCATTTTTTTATTATTTTTATAGGCTTGGTATGCAATAGCTGAAGAAATGGACACCATGAGTAAAATCATTCGAAGAAATGCAGATTGTTTAACATCTTCAACTGTGGAATCTATAAACAGTTTGATATCTGAAAAAAGAGCTTTAAAAAAACATTATGTTGAAGAGCATGATGCACTCAATCGAGAGTTAACAAGGGTATTTATTTACATGCACTTTTTTACTTTATTATAGGAGTTTATGCAGTAGGTACTAAATTGCTAGAGTAATTCTAAGAGATTCTCTAGCAATTTATTCATTTACCTGGACTCTTATGCAAGCTAAAATCTAGAATAAAACTATGTCGACCTGATAGTTGCACAAACAGAAAATGAATGGGAACAAGGCTGCACTAACTAGAGAGTAGATAAACAGTTTTTAACATAAGTTTAAAATTACATCAAGTGTAGAATATAAAAGTAAAAAAGCCTAATCTAAATTTTTGCTTCCCTTGGCCATGCTTCTAAAAATAAATTGTGGCAAGCAAAAGCTTTTGCCAGTATAAAGTCTAAATTTTTGGTAATTTATAAATTTTCTGTAATAATTTTGTGCGTTTTACATACATACTATACTGGCATTGATTTTAATATTTTGTACACTGATGACTTTTAATTAACCTAATTTTAGGATGTGAATCAGATATTTCCATACTGATTTTGCTGTTATACTGAGTGAAGAGCAATCATTGTTAAAAACTAAATTTAGTTCAGAATTTTTATTATCAAGACAATGCTTTCATTTTGTAACCCTAACCTCAATTTATGCATGTCTATAAAGTTGAAAAATTCTAGTGAAATAAAATTGCCAGTATCATTTAGTTTGAGTGTGTGTACAATTCCATGTAACTGTAGACATCATATTCAGCAAGTTCCCCCCCTCCCAAGGAAAGCAAACATGTTTGTAGTTGAAAATGTATTATTAATAAAATACAATGAAGCATATTACTGATATTTCTTCACAGGCGATGGATGTAGTGTTATATTTTTGTATTCTTAAAAGAAATCTATCCTGACTTACATGCCTCACTATTTATTCATGAAATTAATTAAAAGTTTATTAGAATTTTATGTTTTAAATTGGCTATGCATTATTTTATAAAAATTTTACTATATTTATTAAATCATTACCTTTGCTGGCAAAATTAGTATTTTACATTTTTTTTTTTTTTTTTTTTTTTTTTACTTCCAGTTACAACATACAGTAGATTCTATGAAGACTGAATATGAAAAGTATTTAGAATTGTGGAAGGATGCTAAATCTAAATATGAAGATCAATATATTAAAGGTAAAGTTTTCTTTTTCTAGAGTAATTTGATTCTGGTTTTAATAGAATTTTCCTGCAAATGTGTCAGAAAATCACTCAATTCTCAGTCTCTCAAAATTCATGTGGTCTTTAAAAATGCTTAGGTGTTTTTTCTTTTTTAAATGATTTTTGGTTTATAAAAAGTTCTTAATTTTAGCTCAAATTTGTCCCATATGGTCCTTAATTTCCTTCATCGCATATTCCCATCCCTTTCCTGTGACTACAATTTTTAGTGCAAATTAACATTTTGGATAAATATGGAATTGAAATTTTACAGCCTGTGATAAAGGCATTGCAAATTAGTATTGTAAACAACAAGGAAGTATCAACTACCCTAGAATGAAACTTTCAGCTGCCTGTCTGGTTATTTCACCCAACTTTTCAAAACAGGTATTCTGTACAAGAATACTGTTTGTCTGCTTGAAAAGTAGCTCTTGGACTTCCACTTTGATCTTGGAATCATGTTTTTACCTAGTCATTAGTTTTCTTTTGTGAAGCTGGAAATATGAAAATATGCAATGCCCTCGCTGGGACTCGAACCTGGACGTCTCGAATATGCGCCGAGTGTGCTACCATTACACCCCAAAAGCATGCTGGAAGGAGGGAGAAAATACCTTATATACTCCCCTTTTAAAGGCCAACTGGAAATGTTTAAGTTCGAGCGTCACTGTAGAGTCGTTAGGTTTTTTTATGTGAAGCAGAAGATTTGAAAAATATGGAATACCCTTGCCAAGACTCGAACCTCCACCTCTTGATTACATGCCGAGTGTGTTACTGTTACACCATGAAAGCATGCTGGAAGAAAGGAGAAAATAACTTATACTGTGACAAAAAGTTACCTTCAGCAAAGTCAAAGGTTTAACATAATGTCTCAGAAGGTTCATGTAGGTTAATAACTATTTTCTAAACTTGCTGTTGGCTAAAGCATTTATATAAGTGCATGCCTGATCAGCAGTATACAAGAATCATATGACATAGGTTAGTTTTGAAATGACAGAGTTCAGAATGATTTAATATATGCAACTATTGCTTTTAGAGCAGAAAAGGAAAGCAGCCAAATTAAATTAGAGAGTTAAGGGAATGTTGCAATATTTTTTATCTTGCAAATATGTATATGTAAAAGAATAAATAGAATTTTAGTGTATTTGATGGTGGTTAGCTATCTCTCATTAGAATGCAGACATTATAAAGCTGACACCTGTATCAGAATTAAATGCAAAATTACAACATAATGTTACATTTAATTTCGGGATTGATTCCCAGGTTTTTGCTTTCTTTATGTTAGCTAGCTAACCACTATCAAGTAGATTAAAATTAAATTTATTCTCTTTTATTTGCATCCATTTCATGGCAATTTGTGAGATTTCAATTGTTTTTTTAACTAAGTTTTATATTTTTCGTTATTGTTAGAATTATATTTATGTATATATACATGCATGGGGATATTCATACCTGCATGCATATTTCTTTATATGTAACTTTCACTTTTTTTTAAAAGGCAAAGGAGTGAAAAAAGTAGAAGATGCAAAGGAACGCTATCAAAAAGTGGGTCGAAAATTGCATAATTTACATAATGATTTAATTCTTACTCTTTGTGAAGCTTCAGAATATGAAAGGCATTTCAGAACTACTCTTTTGCCTGGTCTCTTGTATTATCAACAGATTGTTATGGAGGACTCTGCTGAAACATGGTAAAAATATTGAATTACATACAATTTCATTTATTAAATATTAACTATTAGAATCTATGTTATCAGTGATATTGTATGGACATTATAGTGAAGATGTTTACACAATCTTCTGTATTATGATAAACTTTTAGGTAAAATTGTTAAATGTTTCATCTGAAGGCCCTTTCACTGGAATACTACATTTTTACAGAGCATCTCCTACCATTATCTCTAATATTTTACTTCACTGCTTATTTCATGTGGTCCATGCAGCATTTTTTTAAAGGTGTATTTAAAACGTTTTCTGTTTTTCATCATTATACAGTTACATCCCATCTCTTATATTTCATTTCTGTTATTTTTCACTAATATCTTACATCTCTTTTCTTTCTTGCCCCTCCTTCCAAGAAATTTAGTTATAAATTTGGATATACAACAACTTGAAGACTTAACATCTCAAATATAAGAGAACTTGTACCTTTTTAAACAATTTGAAGGGGTGTTTATTGTAAGCTAATTTATTATCCTTGCAAAACTCAGTTCATGCCCTAGCAATCCACTGAAATAAATGTATAGCTGAGCCATTTCTAAATGGTACATGCAAGTCTGCACATAATATTAATTTGTCATGAAATAATATAATAGCAAATTTTTAGTTCTATCATTTACCATTGTTATTTTTAAAAGCCCATTTTAAAGTTATGATTTTATGTTCTGTTTTGAAATGATGAGGGTTTAATTCTTAAGCTAGTTTGCTAATTATAAATATTTAGATTAAAATTGTTTAAAGCATTAAACTGGAATCTGCATACAAAGTTTTTAGTATAAATTTAAGGGGTGTAAAAACCATTAACTTTAAAAATAGTTTTTTAAAAGCTTATTTTAAACAAATGGTAAATATTTCGTATTTTTTTTTAACTTTTCAATTTAGTATTATAATTTAATTCTAATTAAGTTCACTAATTTTTAATTCTTTTCTAAACTTTGTTAATTTTTCTAGGTTTTTAGATTCTAATCTGAAATTTCAGATTGCAGTTTTTTTAAGACTTTGAACAGAGACTACTTTTATAAAAATTAAAATTGTACACTCTTCCTTTAGGTATTTTGTATTAGTGATATCCAGTAACAGTGATGGAAAAAGTTTCTTGTGTAAGCAGTGTTTGGAAATTTTTAACCTCTGCTGTGAATAATATTTTGTATAATAAAGTGCAATGGCAGGGTTCTATGCTGCTTTTATTTAAACATATGAATACTTTTTCCTAGAAAGTGTAATAACCAATTTCTTCTGACGAATTTCAAGCTTTTTTTTTTTTAATATGTCAAAGATATATTTCAAATATGCACTTCAAATATTTTGTAAATATAATGGAAAGTGTTGATTGAGAAAATCAGAATTTACAAAATTGTCAATGAATAATCAATATTTTTACCTTTCTTATAACCAATTATCAGAAAAGATGGAAGATTGTATTTTGTTACTCTCCTCTTTTCAGAAAATAAAAAGAATTATGTTTCAATAAAATGTTTTTTTTCTTTATATAATTTATAAATTTTCAGTGATATGCAATCTCAAAAGACATTTTTTTTTATTAATTAAATCAGGAAAATAATAAATGTATTTTCCAGTGTATTGTGTTTAGACTTTTTTGTTTGTTTGTTTAAGGAAATCAATTTTGCATGAGTTTTTTGAATTTATTGATCCAACTTCTGACCAATTTCAAGCTGTGCATACAAGAATAAGTAAGAGTATTGAAGTCATTGATAGTGAAGATGAATACAATGATTTCATTCGAAAAAACAGGTTTGTTTCTTTAATGTTTTTGCTCCTACTCATCCTGAATTGCAATTAATATTTAAATATATTTGCTTCTATTTAAATTCCAGGACAGAGCCCTTGCTTCCCATGGAATTCAAATATGATACATCTTTGCTAAGGGATATTACAGGACCTCTTAGACCAAATGAACTTATAGCTGATGAATATACTACAGATGCTCTTCTTGAGAAGTAAGAGAAACCTTGAGTATATAACACGCTATGAAAATTATAATTATTTTAAGATAGAACCCAGTTTGTCTTGGGTAGAACTAATTTTGGATCGCTTTTTTTGTATAACTCATATGAATAATTTTCAAGAGTTAAAAGTTAAAATAAATACATATTGTATGATTAAGGCAAAATATTATTCCACTCTCTTTAGATATCAGCATTATTTAAGTGAGTTATCTTTTGAGTCCTTTCTAGCAATATTTACAATTACATTGGATCACCTTTTGACAAGTAGTAAACATGAAAGACCTCTCCTGAGTACACATTTGTGCAGTTCACTGTCTTCTGTATACAGTATTCTAAGATACATTATTTTCATTATAAATTATATTTGCATCTTCAAACAGTAAAACTGTAAAATAAAACAAAGATGACTGGTGTGTCTCTTCCAATAATTCAGTGGTATTTTTCTCTATTGTTCTGATTAAGTGGGATTCAGATCAAAATTCAATTAAGCAGGGTTTCATTGTGTACAGGGTAAGAAAAAATGAATGCCTGAATTTCATATGTATACTATGCAAAATGTAATAAATGTATATACATGCAGAGGTAATAAAAGCAAGTTTTAATATTTATCAGTAGATGGCACTGGAGCAGTTGTCATCAGCTTTTTTGCATAAACAAAATGGACCAAAAAAACACCTTGGTAAAATGGCGATGCAGCAGCAAAAAATGCTTTGTGTGCTTGAGTGTTCAGGGCCAGTTCTGAACAAAATGTGGACAGACAGTGACAGATCATAGGCAGTCCGTCGTTAGTTTTTAAAATTTCAAGAGTCAGGCTGCATTTGTAAAGGGAAATTAACAGGTCGTCCTTCAGTAGGAGAAGGCGTAGTTAAGTATATTGAGCCAGCTATGTGAGAAATCCTCAAAAATAGCTATATCAAGCTGGATGAAAACTGTGAGTAGCCCAGAAAACTCTGTGAAGAGTTCTTAGGAGGGCAAATGAAACGGTATCACTTTTAGTTGGTGCAACATCTGAAGCCTGAAGATCTGCCACGTCAATTATCTTCCTGTGAGGCACTTCTCACATGCATAGAGAATGACGAATTTTTGAAAAAGTTAGTATTCAGTGATGAATCGACATTTCACATTTCTGGATTAGTAAATAAACATAATGTGAGAATTTAGGATGCTGAACATCCACATACACCAATGCAATACCAGCGTGATTCCCTTAAGTTAATGTGTTTTATATAATATCCCATGAAACTGTACAGTCTGTCCTTCATTTCTGAAACCACTGTGACAGAGGAGTGTACCTGGATATGTTCAAATTAAGGCTTCTGCCACAGCTACAAGAGGGTATGCCTAGCTTTATTCTGCAGCAGGATGGTGCACCACCACGTTTTATAACTGAAGTGCGGAGCCACCTCAATAACACATTACTGTAATGGTGGATTGATCGCATATCTACCGCAGACAGTTCACAGTTGCCTTGGCCACCATGATCCCCAGATCTCACCTGATGGGATTTTTTTTTTTTTTTTCCTGTGGGAGGTTCGTAAAAGATCACATGCATGTGCTTCCAGGACTGATTTTAAAGCCTGTATCACAGCTGTTGTCGTCATCAATACAGACATGCTGCACAAAGTTTGACAAGAATTTACATTTCAGACTTGATGTATACCATATAACAAAAGGAGAACATATCAAACATTTTTGAAGATTACATTCAAAACTTGCTTATATTAACTCTGCATGTATGTATGTTTTAAATGAATACATACATTATATTTTGTGTAGTGCACCTATGAAACTGGGGCATGTATTTTGACTTACCCAGTATTTTAATGCTTTTATTTTATACGTCTTGTCTTAATGAAATGTTTGAGAAAAATATTCAAATTGTATTTCATGTTGTTATTATTATTATTATTATTATTTCTTTTTTGTTTCTTTTACAATCTAGGTTCTTCAAATTTCCAAAAGAGCACATATTTCTTTTAACATTTTTCAATTTATTCAGGGCCTTAATGATAGTTTGTCTGATTTTATTTATATGACATGTGAAATAAAAATAAAGCAAATGAGGGTTTATGAAAAAAATCACTTTCAAATTTGTCTAAAGCATTTCTTCACTGACTATATTACACTGCTGCTAAAAAAAATAAGTAACAAAGGCAAAACATGGAATAAAACAAAATCTATTTCATGGATTTGCATGGAATTGATCCAAGAGTTTTGTATGTAATTACTAGACCACACATTAAACAGTAAAGTAAAGTCATAACAAAATCACATGTATTACAATCATCACATCCTGAAGGACCAAATGGGATGGAAAGATGTGCAATGATAATGATTAATGATATCTTCTAGCTGAAATGCATGCTTGACAATGGCAAGGCTAGCATTAGTGTTGTTGATTGCTTGTTATGGCAATAGTGTCCATTCCAGTAGTCATGCCTGTTCGAGCTCATAGATAATTATAAAGTGAAATACACAAAAGCTTGTATTACTTTCGACCTTTCGGCTTAATATCTCAAAATCTGAATGCAAGAACTTGATTGTGTCATTATGAAATTTTGTGAATGTTTAAGAATTTAAACTACAGTTTTATGTTTTGTGTAACTTTTGAAATTCCTTTCTAGGAAAAAAGATCTAGAATTAAAACTTAGCAAATGTGAGAAAGATCTGTTGCGCAAACAAGAGGATTTGCAGCAGTATGAAGATGAAATAAAACTTTCTCAATTTGATGAACGAGACTGCTCAAAGTATGTATTTTCCTTCCTTGAAATTTATGGTTTATAAAAAGCTATCATTTATAAATCCAAAAATTTAAGTAAATAAATTATTTGATATATCTATAATTTTTTCTAGAACTTTCATTCATTCACATTTTTTTTTTATCCATTCACAATTAATTTGTATGCATTTGTTTTCCTTTTAAATTAAGGCTTCAGTTTTCATAGTCATTATTACTAATAGTGAAAATAGGCATACCAAAGGAATTTTCATCTTCTTTCAAATTTGTTCACTTTATACACTGATTTAAGCAATCTTCATCAAATTTTGATGGTCTACTGAACATTTATCGTCACATAAATCAAATTGCTTTTTGTAGGATCATTAGAACCATTTCTTTATTGTACTTTCAACAATAGCATAATTCCTGCACACAACACAAGTTATTTTCTCTGCTTTTGTTCATTGTTTTCACTGTAGTCTAAATTCTGATCTATGGCTAAACTCCAAGAGCAGGAGGTGCTAAAAATGTTCTGCTTTGTCAATTAGATTTAATAGAATTTAGTTAAATGATCAAAATGCATAAAATATTATATGTATTTACTAGCAAATTTAAAATTTGAAGTCCGTTTTAAGCAAGTAGCCATGAGTTTAGAAATGTGAAGTAATTTATGTATTGATTGAGCCCAGTTTTTTTTTTTTTTTTTTGGGGGGGGGGGGGGGGCATGTAAACATGATGTGCAATAAAACTGGAAGGTTTTTGCCTTGTGTGACTAAATAAGCGAATTTTAAAACTGCCGTGAGAGCAGTGATCTCAAACTGATGGCCCACAGGATGCATACAGCCTGTAAATGTATTTCGATTATGTATTTGTTGCAAGTACAATGTTGAAAAGATTTCAAGATTTTCAATTTTTGAAGTCAGAGTTTACATCATTTTCATTAACATTAAAAACTGATGTGAATAATGCACCGGAAAATCTATAAATTGAGCTAATTAATTTACAGTGCGATACAAAAGTTATTCAAAGATATTTCAAAGTATTGACTTGATTAACTTTTATTCATACTTGTCAAAAAATAAGTACACTCTTATGAGTTTTTGCACTAAAAATAATCAGTCGCTTTGTTTAGGACTATTTGAAGGTTTTTGGGGGTGGGCTGAATAGGTTTTGAAGGAGTTTTTGCCCCCATAATTGAAAATTAGTAGGAAGAAAAGAACCCAATTGACCGATGAGCATCTACAATGCATGATGAAAGTAACTTCTAGTAATTATTCTAGTAATTGGTACACAGACATTATTACAAACAAATTTTTTATTTAGTTATAAAATTTATGTTTATATACATATAAAGATATGTGTATTAATTTATGTGGAGAAAAATTTAATAAATGAGAAAAAGAAGCTAGGTCATTGTTATTTATTCTCGAGTTTCACGCTACATGGGAAGTTTTTCTCTGGAAACTTCAATGAAAGTTCATTCCAAAAACTAAGTTTTCATAATCTGTTTATGTTTTATATCAAGAAAGTTATTCAATGATTAATTAAGAGAATTATTGGAAATAAATTTCAGTCTGAAATATTAATATCAGTATATATGAATACAAAGTGTGATTGACAAAAATGTCTTGCAAGTGCCACACCTGTCGGATTATTTGAATTACAAAATGTGATTTAAATAATTGTTTTGCAAGTACCAAACGTAAGATTTCATATATAAAATGAAAATAAATTTAATGTTTTTCCCTTAATGGCAAATTGACTTCCTATTATTTTTTATATATGTTTTGATAAACACTTAATAAGGGAAATTTAAAAATTAGTTCCCCCTTTTTAAAAAAATTCTATCCTTAACTGTTTTCAGATTGTGCATTCAGCTCACATGCAGTTTGAGTTTGAGACCACTAATCTAGATGATATGGAACTGGTGTATGGATATTTTCAACAAGTCATACAATATCATAATAATAAAGATTTTTTTTTTCAAATTTATGGTCAAGTATCATTTCCAAGAATCTATGGTAACCACAATTGAACACTTGACCAGTTCTTTGTTTTTTTATAATAAGCTATAAGCACTTGAAAATTTATAGATGAGAAAGTTGTTGAAGTATTATTGATGAGGTCAGAAATATTCTACCTTGATAGAAACTTCTCAGTAACCATAGCCAGTGTATATATAAACTTTGGGTTCTGGGAATTTAAATTTCCTGTTAGAATGGTAAAAAAGTATACTCAAACACAGTTATAAAAAAATCTGATGTGTACACCACATGACTTCCTTGTACGGAATATTAAATTATACACATTTTTTCTTGCATTTCATTTAACTTATTGATTGAATTAATCTCTATCTCTTTGCGACAGTGCATAAACCACAAGAATAATGCAATCCTTAAAATTCACTCTATTTGTTTTACCATAGCGACACTCTGGCACTAGTTCACTTAACAGTATTATATTTCATTCATATTATAACTCAGAATGCCAAAATTTTATCATTAAAGAATTATCTAATCATTGCCACATGTTCTATTCAAATACTATAATAAAGCTAGAACGATGTATAAAAAAGAAAAAAAAAACTAAAACAAAAAAAAAGCAGACGATTGGAGTATTTTCTCATTCAATTAATCCTCATTTTTCCCTTCGCGAAAGTAAAAACCCCCCCCCCCCCCCCCCCCCCCCCCCCCCCCCCCCCACCCCCCCCCCCCCCCCCCCCCCCCCCCCCCCCCCCCCCCCCCCCCTCCCCCCCCCCCCCCCCCCCCCCCCCCCCCCCTCCTTCCCCCCCTTTCCCTCTAACATAAAAAAAAAATTATTAGGCTTAGCGGCCTTAAACAATACTTCTAATTACCCTTGTTTCAAATCTTATTAGGCTTGCGGCAACACTAACCCTGAATAATCTCATGATAGATTTGAACACTGTTTTTGAACTAGACCAGAGGCCTTACTACAAGCATATTTCTGAAATCAGAGGTTAGCTTACAGGTATAAATAATAAATTTAAATAAAAAAATAAAATATAAAAAAAATTAATCATTCAAGGAGATCTAAAGGCTCAGATTTAACAGTCACCCAAAAGGATTTGTTAGGGTTTTGGTATACTTACTGAGCTTACTGTCTACCAGTCTGCTGTTGCACTCACTCCTGCTAATCCGTTTCTTTTTGTCTTTTTAGCTTTATTATTAAGCATCATTTTCTTCATGCTCATGCCATATAAAACTCAACAGCAAAATTCAAAAATATTAAAAGCAACATCTGTTGAGAATTCCCGATGCAGTGTTAAGTATACAGTGTGGCAAATATTTTTCTATTTTTTCAATCTTTTCTCAGTTTATCATATCAATGTACAGTTTTCTTAGTAAGACACTTTTCTTTTTTCCATGTCATTTTATTAACGTTTTGTGTGCTTTAGAATTTCCGATATACAATCTCAAGCACTGGAGATGACAACATTTTAACCTATTCAGTGTTGCCACTGCTTGCTTTCAAATCTTTGAGTTTGTTAAAAGTTCATTACATTAAAGTTTTACAAAATATGAAATTGAAAATTTGTGTTTTCAGGTGCACATGTGCGGGTGGAGGACTACGTTATTCAAAATTTGATGGCCCTAGGTACCATCATTTTTTCATAGTACAGAAACACATACGTTTTGTAGGGCTTTATTAATTTAAAAAAGTAATACAGGCATATATTTCGTGGCAACAATTTGAAAAGTGATTCAGACATCCGTTTCGAGAATTTTCCAAAAGGGTTTAACCTAATAATTCAAAAAAATTCATTAAATATATAATAATATCAAAATAAGTTATTATATGTGAGTTGATAGTTGTAATGTTCTAGCAATTTGTTTTATAATTGCAAAAACATATATGAAAAATGTTGTAATAGCATATTGTTCATAAATATTGTTAGCCGAGGAAAAAAATTGAAATAGTTGTTGACACAGAACAATCAGCTGAAACGAAACTATTTTACTAGTACCAGCAATTGCCAAAGTAATGTTGTCTGTATCTTTTCTTTTTTTAATTTGAAAATATAAATGTGTACTGTGCTTTACAGCTCAAAATACAAATTTTTAAATGGCAAGTTTATGTATGAGCAGAATTCTTGGATTTAAAGCATACCAAACCATGGTTGGACAATTCAGTAAAAGCTTGATTATCCAGAAAGTTTGAGAAATGCCATATTCTGAATAGAAAATGTAGTTCACAATAGAAAAGCCAAATGAATGGAAGGAAAAATTTCAAATCTAATATTATAAAAGGAGTCATTTTATTTGCTATAAACTTGAATATAAAACACTTCTATTTAAATTTTGTGTGATTTTAAAAGAAAAATAGGTATTTCAGACACAAATGCTGAAGTAAAACATCATATTCGATGTGAATATTTGTCGACCATGAAAATTGGCGAAGATGTCTCCAAACTTTCACCAGTCATTCTGGCAGAAATTAGAAGGAACAGGTCACTGTTTATTTAGTTAGGTAATCAAAATATACAAGTTAAGGAACATAATGTATAAAAAACTTGAATCACTAATAATTTCTTGTGTTGCACAGCCAGTGTTTATCTTTTTTCACGTAAGTCACACTTTTCTTAATGTTAAGACTTCCATAGTTTTCAAAATGTGATCAGAAACAGATAAGAAGCAGTTGACTTGTATAGTTTTTTGCAAAAAACTTATTTATTCAGAATTAATCATTTTACATAAAGACAAAGACCTTATGAATGGGTTGTGATGTCATTATTGAAGTTTAAATTTTTTTACTACAGTTTTATTTGATTTGAGTCATAATCCTACGTGCTGTTTAGTAGAGTTACAAATCTCTTATTTGCTTAATTTTTTGTGAAAAAGAGGAAAAGGAAATTGAAGGTTAAATGTTGGCTAGTTGGGCTTTTACTAAATATAAGAATAATCGGGGCAGAAATTTCATGGTATGTGCAATCAGATGTTTCCAGTAGTCAAAAATTTATTTATCTAGTCATGTAGTGTTATCTAGATGTCACTGAATTGAATTTTTGTCAAAAGCTTAATTTATGTTTCCTACAATTATTAAAATAGCGATGATAAAGTAAGAATTTTTACTAAAAATTTTTCATTGCAATTATGAGTGTTTGTTCTCCAACTATTTAAAATTTAGTTTTAAGATATTTGAACAACAGAAGCTTTAAAATGTTTTCACAAGCGCCACATTGTGTTGACCCATGAACTAGAGTATCTTTAGAAGTGTGTTTTTAAAGTTACCAGCAATGAAGTCATTCATCCTAATTATTAAGCATTTATTTTGTGAACCAGGTTTTTCTGTTAGTCATTCAGAATTCTAGCAACTGGCCTAGATTTTTATCTGTCAAAGATTTTATGTTCGATTTATAAATTAGCAAAATTTAACCATGTAGCTGCTTGCATTTGCAGAAAACAACAAACATATGTTTATAATTTTTTTCAATTTTCTTTTAACCATGAATATTGAGAATACTTAATGAGGAATTACCATATAAATCTGCAGCCTAAAAAGTATGAAAGCCCTCATACAAATTTCAGTTCAATTATACTTGTTTTTGTTGCATATTTTTTCTTTTAACTTTGATGAATTGCAAGATTTTCAAATTAATGATTTTTTTGCAATATATGACTTTTTCTGGATTACTTTTGAGTGTTATTTCTGTTAAACTGTGTTAACCTGTGTTAAGACATTTACAATATTATGAGTACATTCTGCATAGGGTTATTATTTTATTAATCATATTTAAAAATTTTTGTAGTATTCTTTTTCTTGATTTCTATATGTGTAGTGATTTCAGATAATGTAAAATTTCACTAATTCTTTAAATAATTTTGCATTTTTAAAGAACATTTTCTTTCTTGCAGTTTAAACTTACCTAAAGTAACCTCTGTAATTTTTTTGTTCGAAAACTACTGATGCAAAATTGTTGCTGATGATATTTTGTACAAAAATATATTAATGTATAATTATATATGATTTATGCATATTTTTAATATGGATCTCTGTGTAATTATTAATAATATGCATTTCATTCTATAGCTTTTATACCAAATATCTATCAAGTATTTTTTCTTTCAGCTTAAGAGTTAAAAAACGTGCTGTTGATATATTAGTTAAAGATCTTAGTCATTTACAATGCATTGAACATATCTTAAATGTTCAACTTCACCTTGTCAATTTTGCTTTGTCATATATTGGCCAAGAAGGTCCTTCCTTATCTTCTGAATTAAATGACTTAAGAGCTTCTCAAAACTGTGCCAATGAACAAGTATGTTTACCTTATTTTCTCTTTCTTACATATATATTTTTTTTAATTTAGTTTTCTTACTCTTTGAAGTATATTTTTTAAAATGAAAATAACATCTTCCTCCTGAAAAGTTCTATTTTGCAGCTATTAAATTTTCATGAGATAAATTTTATATATTGTAGCTGTTAATGTTGTATTTATTCGTGTATTCCACCTTTTTTGTCTGATTTTATACAAAAATTGAGATAGGAAAATTTTGCGAATAATTTAATTTCCAAAACATGTGGTTATATTAAGAACAAAACAAATGAAAAATATTCATGATTATATACTACTGTGAACTGTAGATGGTTATCAGAAACAGATGGTTATCAATACATATAAACAATTCATTCACTGTTTGCAGTATACAGTATATTTAATATACATATATAGAGGGAATTTAATATAAATTTGTATTTATTATTTTATATAATAAATATTTTTATAAAGCGGTTTATTTAAATAAATAACATGCAAAGACATATCTGAAATGAATTTTAACCTTCCAGCATGTGCGCATCGTATTTTTTATGACATCTGATATTTTACCGTTTTTTACCAAAAAACGATGAAATACAAATGATATCACATTCAAATATAAGTAATTATTTTTGAAGTTCTTATGTTAGTTAGATGGAAATGCAACGATGTATTTCTTTTTAGAAAATTTAAAAATTTATTATTTAATAATATTTTAAAATTGAAGCTAATTTTAATATTCATTCAAAGACAAGTATAGACAATAAAAAAGGAAAACACCTTGATAGGAAAAAAAGTAAGTTTAGCATTACTTACTTCTGCAAGGAAATTTACTTCTTACTGTTTACAAAAACGAACTTTAATGTTTTTATTTATTTCTAAAAAAAAAAAAGAAAAAGAAAGAAAGAAATATAAGAAAATAAGGAAAGGAAATCGCTATTCTGCCATCCAAAGGTTTCCTTGTCTTCCTTTTCTTCATCAGATAATTCTTGAAGAATCCGAGCAAAATCAGCTTGTTGCACATATTTTTTTGCTATGAAAACCGATATAAAATTTTCAGAGCCAAATGTATTCAAACTAAAATAATACATGGCAATTAATAACACAAAATTACAAACTATTTGAGAAAAAAAAAATTTTTCCAAATTTTAAAACACGACCACGCACTTGTCGTAATTTCTGTGAAAAAGCTGCCGCATAGCACAAAAGCCCAGTTAAAAAAAAAAAAAAAAAAAAAAGTCAAATAACTTCCTGTTTGCATATTCTATGATGTGGGGGAAGGGTAGAATGGAGGAATAGAAATGAGCTTCAGATGTCTCAGCTTCGATATGCGAAAAATGTGTATTAAAAACTGAAATTGTCGTAAATTTTACGCATATGCGCATGCTGGAAGGTTAAACAGGCAAATGGTTGACAGGTTCATGATATCTAAGAACCCACCCTATAACATTATCCGCACATTTATCATGTGGATGATTTCTGAGTTATTAATGCGCCATATCATGAAGAAGTGTTAGTTCTGAGAAGTAATATCCAGTAGTCATTTTTGGATAAATGGAGAAAGGAAGACATATTGCTTCCTCTCCTTTTATAAGTTATGTATTAGATTCTGTTAGAGATCTGTATAGAAATAAAGCACAATGATCTGCATAGAGATCAGTACAAAATATGAGGCCAGGTGACTTTCTTTACAGTTACTACGACTTATAATCCGTGCCTTTTTTTATCACTAGTTTTGTGCAAACAGCACATTTTACACATTTTGGTGCAAAGAAGTAAATCTGATGACCAGCAGTTGTTGTTGATAATACATCAGACACATTATCATGACTGTTATAATGCCTGAACATAAATTCTGCTATTACAACTCCAGGTAATAGTGAACTGCACTCCTGAGTTTTGTGTTCTGCTATTTTGTTGTCCCCTATTAAATATTTAGCATTGAGAAAAATAGAGAAAATTCGCACTAGCTGAAAAAAACAAACTGTATGTACAATTAAAATGTAAACTAAGTGCACATGTACAGATTGATAACCATAAACATTGAATGAGTTGCTTGTGTGTATCAGCAACTGTTTCTCACCAAGTCCACTGTTGCATAGAAGTTCCTTATTAAGCAACATGTTCTCTGTAAAGATATTAGACCAGGTATTTAAGCCTTGAACACTAGTAGTTTAATCTATAGGCTGACTTAACATTCATAACCATTTAGACATTATTTATGTAATATTGTTTTTATTTATGTAATATGTATTTAAGACATAATTTATGTACTGTGTAATACAGAAAGAAGATTCAAATCAAACCTTAAGCAAGAAATCAAAATTTATAATGGAGAAACTCAAGCAACCGTTCTTCACATTAAAGCAAAAGCATGTAAGTAAAATGTATTCTTTATAAAACAATATTTTTTCTATTTTTTAAACATGTTCTTATAATTAAGAAAGGAATAATAAGTATTACAATATTTTTTTTTAATTTATATAGAAGTCTCCGAGTAATGCTTAATAGGATTTTTTAGTAGTATTTCATGGAAATTAAATTTTCACATCGCCTTAAAAAATAACTAAAATTTGTACAATTATAATGAAAATAAATTTTAAAATGTTCGCAAGTTTATTCAATTTATTCTCACCATAGTGAGTTAATGTCTGAATGTTTAAAAAATATTTTTTTAAATTAAGTATATTCTTTGATTAATGCAATATTAAATTTCACATTATGTGCTTCTGAATTTTTACTCATGTTAAAAAGTGTAATGCTTCATTTATATTGCTCTTTTGGAAGTGTGTCATAAATTTTTATTCACATTTAAGTATCATTTGAAAGTTCTGTGAAATTTATTGTATTTTATCCTTGTCCTTCGTAAAATGACTGTAATTGATTTATTATTTTTGATTAAAAAAAGATAGGAAATTAAAGTAGTTAAATTTTTATTTTGTAATATATCTGCATGGAAAGCCAGTTTAAAGAATTTTTATTCATATATTTTTTACTGAAATTATTATGTTATATTACAGTTTATCAATAAAAAAAATGTGGTCAATGAAAGTGGATTCAAATTTTTTAGAAATGCCTTTGGAACATTAGCTTTCCAAGATAAGAAATTTTAATTTTATTTAAGAGTAATATGAAAAAACTGTGTATGGTAAAGACATTTAAAGACATTTTTCTTTCCTGCTTTTATGGTGTAGTGGTCAACCAGAAATAAAATAGCCGAGTTCAATTACTAGCAAGGACAATGTGAATTTTTCAAAAAATTCTCAATATTTGTACAACTTTTTATAGATAAAATTAAATGGTTTGTTTCTTTTCTTTAACTTTTTTAATCCTCCCCTGCAAGTGAAGTTCCCCAGTGGCCTTGTGACTCTGGAGCACTGAATGTCACTGGGTGCCCCAAAATTTTTTGCTATTTAAATCTAACATTGAAAACAAGTAAATTAAATAACAAAAAATGTGTCGTGCTTTTTATTGAGACATTTGGGCTCTTACTAATTCAGAAGTCAAACAACAAAAATCAGCGTTATATTCACAAAATTTTCACAGGACTAGTTTCGATGGTTTTACCGAACCATCATCTTCAGCTGCAAAACCGCAAATGAATAAGATAGGAAATAATGATTAGATAAGATAAGGAAGCCTGGACAAGAATAAGAAAGTGGCGCCATCTGTTGGCGAAACCAGAACTAAAACATAATTTCTCTAAAAGCCGAAGGCAAATTTGGATTGGAATTAGGATCGTTAACTAGAACAGAAAGATTTTTATGAATGTGAAATGCCTCTAGAAAATCCAGTTCTCCAATGGAAGATGTTTTTTGAATAATTTTGGCAGCAGAAAAATTGAAAGTGTGATTTTCGGACCAACAATATTTGAGCAACAGAAGACTTCTGTGTTTCCCTTTTTCTAACATATGCCTCATGTTCTTTGACGCGAAATTTTAAGGCTCTCTTAGTTTGGCCAATGTAAATTAAACCACACTGGCAAGGAATCTTATAAATACCCCAGGAATTCATATCCGGAATGGGGTCCTTGAGTATAGAAGTTGGAATTTTATTGATGGGAGAATAAACAACTCGAAAGTTAAATTTCTGCAAAATATGTGCAACTTTATAGCTAATTGATGGAAAGAAGGGAATGACAACAGAATTTTTATAATCTCCTAAAATAAGAGTGGGGCTTTTAGTGTGTTGAGATGAGAATTTTTTAACTGCTTGATTAATAATGTTGGGTGAAAAGCCCCTGTCAATAGCTATTGCTTTTAAATAATTTAGTTCTTCGTCAAGGGCTAGTTTGGAGGAGCAAACTTGAAGAGCACGGAAAACATAGGAATAAAATGAAGCTAACTTTTGTTTAGTCGGATGACATGATTTAAAGTGTGGTGGAAGGCAAACCGATGAAGGTTTATGGTAAACTGTAGTACTGAAGTTGGATGTGTTACGTGTGACCAGAATGTCGAGAAACGGAAGAGAATTGCAAGTCTCAAGTTCAAAAGTGAACTGAATAGCAGGATCAATAGAATTCATTGTTGAAAGAACTTTATTTAAATCATCTATCTTTATTACCTTCAAACAGAGTAAAAGTATCGTCTACGTAGCGGAACCATGCAGGGAAGTTTAAAGTTTCAAACAATTTTGATTCATAATAATGCATGTAGATATGAGCCAGGATGGGACTGAGGGGGCTTCCCATGGCTAATCCCTCAGTTTGCTTGTAATATTTATTTTGGAAAACAAAATGTGTTTGTTTCAAACAGAGTTGAGTGAGAGAAATTAGCTCATCAATTTCGATGCAAGAGAAAATGAAATTCACGAAGTCTGGTTTCTAGACATCTTAATGCACCCTCCACTGGGACATTGGTGAATAATGATTTTACATCAAAAGAAACCATGAGTAAATTACTAGGAGAAATGTTTTTAACCTTTTTTACAAACTCTATTGAATTTTTTATGGTGTAAATGTTATTGTCTAATAGAGTGGAAAATCTAGAAACTAAATATTTAGCTAATGGATACGAGGCAGTACCTAAATTTGATACAATCCTCAATCATCTTGACTTTTTACTTAAATGTAAATGTAAAAAATTGATCCCCAATTTTATTCAAATCAAATCTAATCAAAAGCCTTCGAGTCGCGTTTCAAGAATTCTGTTAAATTGCAAGCTTGCCTTACTTCGGTCCGTGATAAGGAATACACGTCAACAGTTGTCCAAAATTGAACATGAACTCTATAAGCTTCATCTGGAACTCGCTAAATCATATCCAAAATTCACTCACCTTGAACAAAAGTCTTGGTCTAGAACGGAGAATGCAGTTATCCGTCATACTCTATTAGACAATAACATTTACACCATAAAAAATTCAATAGAGTTTGTAAAAAAGGTTAAAAACATTTCTCCTAGTAATTTACTCATGGTTTCTTTTGATGTAAAATCATTATTCACCAATGTCCCAGTGGAGGGTGCATTAAGATGTCTAGAAACCAGACTTCGTGAATTTCATTTCTCTTGCATCGAAATTGATGAGCTAATTTCTCTCACTCAACTCTGTTTGAAACAAACACATTTTGTTTTCCAAAATAAATATTACAAGCAAACTGAGGGATTAGCCATGGGAAGCCCCCTCAGTCCCCATCCTGGCTGATATCTACATGCATTATTATGAATCAAAATTGTTTTTGAAACTTTAAACTTCCCGGCATGGTTCCGCTACGTAGACAATACTTTTACCCTGTTTGAAGGTAATAAAGATGATTTAAATAAAAGTTCTTTCAACAATGAATTCTATTGATCCTGCTATTCAGTTCACTTTGAACTTGAGACTTGCAATTTCTCTTCCGTTTCTCGACATTCTGGTCACACGTAACACCCAACTTCAGTACTACAGTTTTACCCGTAAACCTTCATCGGTTTGCCTTCCACCCACACTTTAAATCATGTCATCCGACTAAACAAAAGTTAGCTTCATTTTATGCCTATGTTTTCCGTGCTCTTCAAGTTTGCTCCTCCAAACTAGCCCTTGACGAAGAACTAAATTATTTAAAAGCATAGCTATTGACAGGGGCTTTTCACCCAACATTATTAATCAAGCAGTTAAAAATTCTCATCTCAACACACTAAAAAGCCACACTCTTATTTTAGGAGATTATAAAAAAATTCTGTTGTCATTCCCTTCTTTCCATCAATTAGCTATAAAGTTGCACATATTTTGCAGAAATTTAACTTTCGAGTTGTTTATTCTCCCATCAATAAAATTCCAACTTCTATACTCAAGGACCCCATTCCGGATATGAATTCCTGGGGTATTTATAGGATTCCTTGCCAGTGTGGTTTAATTTACATTGGCCAAACTAAGAGAGCCTTAAAATTTCGCGTCAAAGAACATGAGGCATATGTTAGAAAAAAGGAAACACAGAAGTCTTCTGTTGCTCAACATTGTTGGTCCGAAAATCACACTTTCAATTTTTCTGCTGCCAAAATTATTCAAAAAAACATCTTCCATTGGAGAACTGGATTTTCTAGAGGCATTTCACATTCATAAAAATCTTTCTGTTCTAGTTAACGATCCTAATTCCATCCAAATTTGCCTTCGGCTTTTGGAGAAATTATGTTTCAGTTCTGGTTTCGCCAACAGATGGCGCCACTTTTTCTTCTTTCCAGGCTTCCTTCTTATCTAATCATTATTTCCTATCTATTCATTTGCGGTTTTGCAGCTGAAGATGATGGTTCGGTAAAACCATCGAAACTAGTCCTGTGAAAATTTTGTGAATATAACGCTGATTTTTGTTGTTTGACTTCTGAATTAGTATTTGTTCGGCGTGTTATTGTGTCTTAATTATTTGGGCTCTTGTTTATTATTTATATTTTATGTGGTACTTACTGATTATCCATTCCTCTTGCCAAAATGTCACAAAAAATATTCATGATTCAAAACAGTGTGTTGTCAAAAGGTAGTTACGGGGTACCCCAGGTATGTGCATAACACATGTCTGTTGTTTCGGCCAGTGTGTAATGCCAAAGTTGTATGGATGCTGAATTTATGTGTTTGATTTTTTTTTAAAGTGAAAACAGAACACTGTGTACATAGGGGGAAATTCTGATTTAAGCAATTAAAATGAAAATCAAGATTAAGATAAAATGTAAATTACTAATAATGATTATCCATTAAAATTATATCTATGCATTTATTAGGCAGGAAAATTAAAGTTTGAAAGATGCATGCATATTATATGTTATTCTCACTCATATATATAAATTATTTCTGAATCCTGAACTATATGTTGACCAACATCATGCATTTTACATTTGAAGTGCAAACTAGAAAATGATTAAAGACATTCCATTTGATAAAATTTTGTGGCATTATAACATCATTCATTTGCTTCAAAGTTTTCAAATAAAACATGCTATTTGAGCATATTAGGTATATATTAGGGGTGTCATTTTTTCCTAGATCACATTTAATATAGTGAATCTACGGAGAATATCTGAAATATGTTATGTATGATATGCTGAGAACAAAGAGTTAATGAAGCTCATTTATTATGAAAGTAAAAGACTATAGAAAACTATAGAAAGTTTATTGGAAGAATTAAAGCAACAAGAATCAGCATAACATTCCTAAATTTTCAGGACTAGTTTTAAAGATTTAAGTGAAGAGTCTTCTTTTTCAGCAACAAAAGTGCAAATGACAAGCCAGTGATACTCTAAGATAAGGTGATAAGAATGAGAAAAGTTAAATCAAGCATGGGAAGTTTGAGAGTAATTTTTCGATCATTAGGCTTTCAATTTAAAAATTCAGCAATATAAAAAAATTTCTTTAATATAATATATTTGCAGGTAGCTAGAAAATTTTTCTGCATATTAAGCAAAGACTGTAAAAATATACTTCTTCTTCTTCTTCTTCTTTTTTATTTTATGTCTTGTAATTTCATAGAAGGGTTTCTGGATTAAATTTTTGGATTGGTTATTATTCTTATCATTGACACTATCAATAAAAATAAAATAAAAATATCATCTCAAACAGTATGTATGTATCAGCCATGTATTTTTCATTGTATTTCTTTTTCACAAGTGTCCAGTATTTTCACCAATGTATCACATTTTTTTTATTTCACTCATTAAGAACTGAATACTTTATATTGTTTATGCATATTATTTTCATTCCACATAGGCTACATCTTGCCCTCCTTCTCCTCCAAATAAAGATTTCTTAGATAATGTTGTGGAAAGTGAAAAAATTACATATAGGAGAGTAAGTATATATCTTATATATATATAATAAATGCTTAAAAACTTCTATTTTCTAGGGATGAAGAAAATAGATAGAAATTTACTACATTATATGCAACTGTGTTCAAAAATAATTTTTTTTTTTTTAACTTTTATCTTTTATATGTAATATACAGTCAAAAGTCGTTAATCCGGACTCGTCGGGACTTCGGCGATTCCGGATTATCGATTTTTCCGAATTATAAATCATCAGTTTAAATCTCGTAAGATGGCATGCAGAAATTCTAAAATTAAAAATATGAAACCGTAATTTATGAAATAAAGAACAATTATGATCTAAAGGGTATCAAAATTTACAAAAAAAAAAGAGCTTAATATTTATTTGTTTACTTTATTAAACATTTCTTTCAATGTAAGTTGTTTAAGTTGCTTCGTTTTATGCGATAATACTTTCTCTTTAATTCTATAAACAGACATAATTTCTTGTTCAGTTACAAAGTTCCACTGTTCAAGTCCCGTTAATTGCTGTGCAGAGAATACCGAATAACTTTTCAATCGAAATTTTTTCGTTTTCATTAACCTCTCTGTCACATTCTTCATGTCTTTATCCATTTTTTGCAACAATTCCACTTTTTGTTTGATGGACATCGAAACATACTTTTGTTTTGCACAATCCTTTGGGAGCTCCAGAATCGGAAATTCTATTTGACATAATCGAAAGTTCAAGTTTACTTTTATAATATTGCTCTTACAGTCTGCAAAAAATAATAAGCCGAATCCAATTCGAAGATTAATGAACAACGTAATCATCAACATTAAGTGAAATAGATAATTAGATAATTTTAGCTTATACCGTCCGTTATACATAAAACACGCACGTGAAAATGTATTCTGTGCTTGTGCACACGCATATGCGCAGTTGTAAAAGGTCGTACGCGCACGCGTAAACACCTATGCGCATGTGTCAACGCGGCGCATGCGCAGAAAGTTTTTAGCTTTGAGGTCCGGATTATGGGTGTCCGAATTAACGACTTTTGACTGTATTATGCTAGGAATTTTCATGTTCTCAGAATCTTTTTTGTTAAGAGGTTAAGTCTTGAGTTTGTAAACACAGTTTAATACTGAACCATGCATGTTTTAAGAATATGTTTTTAGAGAGGGTCAGTTTATTGGAATCACAGAAAGTTTTGTAGAACAGATTATTTTGTTGATTAAAAATAATAGAATGAGTTTCATTTGAAACCATCTTGCCTTTGATCATTTGAAGCCTAGCATGTAGGACTAAATATTGCCTTATTACAACTGAAAGGCTTAACAGAAACAGTTGTAATTGTCACACAAAGCTGCATAAATGTTTGTGGGGATATGCTCAGAAATATCTCAAAAGCACTTAAATAAGGAGGGGTTAAAAATAAGCATGGACTTTTTCTATCTGTACATAAATTTTATTCATATTTTAATATGTAAATTTATGTGTTTTGTGAATGAGGTGAAATATTTTGTTTGTAGGAGATCAAAGATACAAGTTATCAGTCTGAAGATTGGTTTCATGGAGTGTTGCCTCGTGAAGAAGTTGTCAGGCTTTTAGTTAATGAAGGGGATTTTCTTGTTAGGGAAACAATTCGAAATGACACCAAACAGCTGGTTTTGTCTGTCTGTTCTCAAGGTTATAAACACTTCATTGTACATATGACAAGTGACGTAAGCCATCCATTCTAATTTATTTGATATTGTTTTGTAATAAATAAAATCTGTAGAATATAGTACCAATGTAAATAAAATTAAATTTTCCAGGTTCTTAATTAATTGATATTGAAAAGTTGCAGTTATTCTTAGTGAAACTTTAATAATTCAATTAATGTTAAATTTTATATAATAATTATTAAATTAAATGCTTGTCATTTTCAATGTCAGTAATTGTCATTTTTGTATCTTTTTTGCATACATAAGTTTTGACAAATAATAAATTTAAATAGGTTGCAAAACGTCTAATTGTAATTAAAATCATTTGTGGATAAAGACAGTTATGCAAGAAAAAATGTATACTTCAAGTTTTAAATTTTGGTATTTGTTCATTAATCAGATGCAAGTGATTCATGAGATATACAAAGGAAAGAAAAGGTGCAGGTGATTCAAAGTATCAGGTGCAAGTGATTCATGAGAAATACAAATGGTATACAAATGAGATATACAAATTCATGAAATATACAAATATCTTCTACAGATCAGAATTGGCTAACTTAGTAACTGCATAGAAAACCTAAACAATGCAAAAAAACAGTTTGATATATCAATCTGCACCTTAATAGATAGGAATCATATATCACTCTAATCCATGAAGGAGTATCCATTATTTTTTAAGAGACTAATGAGTGCTTTGTTCTTTATTAACCTAGTTGTTGATTTTGCTGTCATCTCACGAGTAATAAATATATTATGAATGATAGGTATTCAGATTCTTGCAAAAGGATATCATATATAGCAGTTTGTCACATTTCTTTCTCTTAACCATCATGAAATCACTTTTGTGTGACTAATCAGTAAATACCTATTTTTTTAAAAAAAACTCTTAACTCCATTACAAGAATATATTCTTGCATACCCATCAATTTTTTGTTATATATTTCTTTACCATAATTTTGCAAAAATTATTCTAAATTCCCCACAGCGAAAATACAGATTTGAAGGACCTAGTTTTTCTACCATTCAAGAATTAATCATGCATCAGTTTCAATCTGGTCTGCCAGTCACCATGAAATCTGGAGCCGTTTTAAAACGACCAATACCTCGTGAAAGATGGGAATTGAACAACGATGATGTTGATCTGATTGAAAAAATAGGAGCTGTAAGTTTTTAATGCATGACGTATTTTTTAATATATTTGTTTTTGTATTGAAATAACACCTACAACATTTCCCTGGGGAAATTTATAGCTTATGTCCATGCTTATGCTCTTGAACTAACTCTTGGAAGTAAATGTAGAAAGTTTTGTGTATGTATTTATTATGCTCAATGTCAACAATTTGCCTCATGATCATTAGCACTTTTCCCTATATTATGAATGCTGAGGATATAAAATTTATAATTTTGCTTGATGAACAGTCATGAGCTATGGTTTGAATCATAGGTATAAGGAAAAACTGCATTCTCCTCTAAAGGCCTATATATACAAGGAGACATATCTCTAAACAAGCCTTCCTTGCAGACATGTCACATACAGTGTTTTGTCCACACTGGGAGATTTTGTTATTTATGTTACTTTGAGCTAGCTTCTAAGGCAGTCAAAGCAGATACTATGATTTGCATGCAAAAGGAGAACTCTATTGATCATACAACAAACGTTATAATTTACAAAGTTACAATATTGCCTTTATTTTAAAAGTTTTAATTCAACCTTTATTTAAAAAATAAGTTATAATAATATTAATAGTAATAATAAACAGAAGGCTTAATAGCAGACAGAAAGTAAGAATAATTAAAAATGCAAAATGCAACAATATGAAAAATAAAAATTGTAAATTAAAAAATAATAGAATTAATGAAGTAGGGAAGAAAGTAATTAATCCTGAAATGTAATTGTTATATATATATATATTAATTCTTCATATATAGCATAAATATAACATACATTAATGATAATTAGGTCATAATAAAGCATCATTTTCAAGTACATGAAAGAGGAAAAACAACAACTTTAATTAACATAAAATATAATATTAATTTGTGTAATTATATAAATTATTGTGTAAATATTAATTGATATAAAATTTTATGTATAATAATAACGTAACATAAAATTATTATATGTTACATATAAAAATTTGAATAATTTTTTATTAACAGAATTCTGCTAACTACAGAAATGCAGAAATAATAAAACATTTATTTTCTGTGGGGAGAAAAAAACAGAAAATAGCTCAGCGGAATTCAAACACAATTTGCTGGTGTATGGAAAATTCAAACACTTCAGTAAATGTGCCAGGGAAACACGCTAGCTAGAGCTGGTCCTAAAGCTGAAAAATCATTAACAATAGAAAATCAAAAATGTAATCAAATGCAAACAGATGATAAATTAAGCTTTTCTTGTTTGTCAGACTATTTGGGCATAAGAATATAATATCCATGTTGGTGCATGTTCTTAGAAATATCAGTCTCCTTCTAAAATGATTGCCTTGGGAAGATTTTCACCACAATAGAATATATTGTATTTTTAATATGAAGGCAACAAATATACTAATGCAAAATGCAATGAATTTGCAATAATCAAATAAGGTGAGAAAATTAAAGAATCACATCATAATAAATAACTTTTTATTTAGTGCATGTTATTGAATAGCTAATTGAAAAAATTTGTATCTTAAAAAGAATAGGGAATAAACGAAATAGATTCCTTTTAAGATTGCATGTCCTTATTTATTTTGAAACTGTATAATATTCCACATTGTTGGCAGATGAAAATATGCAAAATTAGTCTACCTTTTGTGATTATTTTTTCCTGCTAAAATTGTTATATCATAATGGATGTGATAGATAGGCAATTGAGACCATAGGATTGTGACTCTGATTATTGATTAGCATGCAAAAGCTAATCAATAATCAGAGACGATATCATAAAGCAACGTCAAAGCCTGCTTGTGTAATTGCCTCCTATGAAGGCATTTAATTCTTGATGCTTCCCTTGTCAGATTTTAAATTCAGAATTACTGCTTCAATGTATTTTACTCAAATTCTTTCATATATCACAAGAACATTTGAATGAACATTAAGTAAAACACAATAGTAAAAGTTCAATTAATTTCACCTTAAAAGTCATAAGAATATTAATATTTTAATGATCCTTGGCCATTGCCAAATGCAAGGTTGTTGCTTTTCTAATTTTATAATATTTTTCTATTGTTGCAGTAATTTAGGTAAATCATGCATCATCAAGTGCACATGTATTTTTATTTATTGTCTGATAAAGAGTTTTTGTTCAGGGTTCTACAAATTGTTCTGCATTGAGCAACATGCCTCAGCAAAAAACTGATGAACATAATGTTTTTTAGCTTTTTTAAGTTGTAAATGTTTTTAAATTAGTTATTTATTTTATTTTATTTTTTGCTGTTATAGATATATTTAAAGAATTTGCAACTCATTTTTGTATCAACAGATTTTTCCCTTGATACCAACGATTTAACTCTAGAAGCATTAGAAACAGTGCATGCCTTTTTTTTAGGGGGGTATTCATTTGGATTTTCTTTCCATGTAGAAATAATGTCTAATGGTTTTCTTCTTTCTAATTAATAATGCTGCTTGTTTTGAACTTAGAAATTTTAATACATGCATTCCATAATGTTTTAGAATTATGGAAAACAGTATTTCTTTGTGGAAGGTATGAAAACATATCTTTCAATCCACAGCTTATTTACATGTAAAAATTTGAAAGAAGAATAAATTTTAAAATAGCAGATGATGTTTTAGGTAATAAGCTGTTGCCAAAAATTTTTATTCGAATCATTTTCTTTTTTTATTATTA